TGCCCTTTCACCTTCGACCTGTTGCACTCCCGCTGCCCTTTCACCTTCGACCTGTTGCACTCCCGCTGCCCTTTCACCTTCGACCTGTTGCACTCCCGCTGCCCTTTCACCTTCGACCTGTTGCACTCCCGCTGCCCTTTCACCTTCGACCTGTTGCACTCCCGCTGCCCTTTCACCTTCGACCTGTTGCACTCCCGCTGCCCTTTCACCTTCGACCTGTTGCACTCCCGCTGCCCTTTCACCTTCGACCTGTTGCACTCCCGCTGCCCTTTCACCTTCGACCTGTTGCACTCCCGCTGCCCTTTCACCTTCGACCTGTTGCACTCCCGCTGCCCTTTCACCTTCGACCTGTTGCACTCCCGCTGCCCTTTCACCTTCGACCTGTTGCACTCCCGCTGCCCTTTCACCTTCGACCTGTTGCACTCCCGCTGCCCTTTCACCTTCGACCTGTTGCACTCCCGCTGCCCTTTCACCTTCGACCTGTTGCACTCCCGCTGCCCTTTCACCTTCGACCTGTTGCACTCCCGCTGCCCTTTCACCTTCGACCTGTTGCACTCCCGCTGCCCTTTCACCTTCGACCTGTTGCACTCCCGCTGCCCTTTCACCTTCGACCTGTTGCACTCCCGCTGCCCTTTCACCTTCGACCTGTTGCACTCCCGCTGCCCTTTCACCTTCGACCTGTTGCACTCCCGCTGCCCTTTCACCTTCGACCTGTTGCACTCCCGCTGCCCTTTCACCTTCGACCTGTTGCACTCCCGCTGCCCTTTCACCTTCGACCTGTTGCACTCCCGCTGCCCTTTCACCTTCGACCTGTTGCACTCCCGCTGCCCTTTCACCTTCGACCTGTTGCACTCCCGCTGCCCTTTCACCTTCGACCTGTTGCACTCCCGCTGCCCTTTCACCTTCGACCTGTTGCACTCCCGCTGCCCTTTCACCTTCGACCTGTTGCACTCCCGCTGCCCTTTCACCTTCGACCTGTTGCACTCCCGCTGCCCTTTCACCTTCGACCTGTTGCACTCCCGCTGCCCTTTCACCTTCGACCTGTTGCACTCCCGCTGCCCTTTCACCTTCGACCTGTTGCACTCCCGCTGCCCTTTCACCTTCGACCTGTTGCACTCCCGCTGCCCTTTCACCTTCGACCTGTTGCACTCCCGCTGCCCTTTCACCTTCGACCTGTTGCACTCCCGCTGCCCTTTCACCTTCGACCTGTTGCACTCCCGCTGCCCTTTCACCTTCGACCTGTTGCACTCCCGCTGCCCTTTCACCTTCGACCTGTTGCACTCCCGCTGCCCTTTCACCTTCGACCTGTTGCACTCCCGCTGCCCTTTCACCTTCGACCTGTTGCACTCCCGCTGCCCTTTCACCTTCGACCTGTTGCACTCCCGCTGCCCCACCTCCGCCCCCGCTGCCCTTTCACCTTCGACCTGTTGCACTCCCGCTGCCCTTTCACCTTCGACCTGTTGCACTCCCGCTGCCCTTTCACCTTCGACCTGTTGCACTCCCGCTGCCCTTTCACCTTCGACCTGTTGCACTCCCGCTGCCCTTTCACCTTCGACCTGTTGCACTCCCGCTGCCCTTTCACCTTCGACCTGTTGCCCCCCGCTGCCCTTTCACCTTCGACCTGTTGCGCCCCCGCTGCCCTTTCACCTTCGACCTGTTGCACTCCCCGCTGCCCTTTCACCTTCGACCTGTTGCACTCCCCGCTGCCCTTTCACCTTCGACCTGTTGCACTCCCCGCTGCCCTTTCACCTTCGACCTGTTGCACTCCCGCTGCCCTTTCACCTTCGACCTGTTGCACTCCCGCTGCCCTTTCACCTTCGACCTGTTGCACTCCCGCTGCCCTTTCACCTTCGACCTGTTGCACTCCCGCTGCCCTTTCACCTTCGACCTGTTGCACTCCCGCTGCCCTTTCACCTTCGACCTGTTGCACTCCCGCTGCCCTTTTACCTTCGACCTGTTGCACTCCCGCTGCCCTTTCACCTTCGACCTGTTGCACTCCCGGCTGCCCTTTCACCTTCGACCTGTTGCACTCCCCTGCCCTTTCACCTTCGACCTGTTGCACTCCCGCTGCCCTTTCACCTTCGACCTGTTGCACTCCCCGCTGCCCTTTCACCTTCGACCTGTTGCACTCCCGCTGCCCTTTCACCTTCGACCTGTTGCACTCCCGCTGCCCTTTCACCTTTCATGTAAAGAATCGCCCCTCAATCGCCTCTACCCCCGTGCCGGGCACGCCAAATGTTTCTCCATCTCCCGCGGCTGCCTTCCCTCCATTTCCCACTTTCCCACCCCACCAGTGTGGGCAGCAACGAGCAGTACGACTTCGAGCAGGGCATCAGCGCAGTACTGCACACTGAGCCCTTCACCTTTGACCCGTTCCTCTCCCCAGAGGCCACCGCGCGCATGAACGCCCTCCCCTTCCTCCACTTCAACCAGATTGCCGTCGCCGGAGCAGCCAGCCTCGAGGACTTCCGGATGAAGAGCCCCGGAATCACTTTCATGACTTTAGCAGAAGTGATGGCTAAGCTCGGCCACAAGTATGTAGATGTGCTCAAGATGGACTGCGAGGGGTGCGAGGAGAATTTTATCATGGGCCTGAAGAAAGAGACGGAGGAGTTTGTCGGGAGGAGGAAGGCGGAGGGAGGGGCGGTGACGGAAGAGGAGAAGGAGGGCAAGCGGCGGGGTAGGGGGGATGCGAAGCTGGTTGTGAACGGGGGGAATCTGCCGTTTGGGCAACTGCTGGTGGAGTTCCACTAGTGAGTGCCCTGCTTTTGCTTCTGCTTTTGAGTTGGCCCTAAAAGAGGTTTAGAGCGGAGGGGGAGAGGGGATGCGAAGCTGGTGGTGAACGGGAGGGAATCTGCTGTTTGGGAAACTGCTCGTGGAGTTCCACCAGTGAGTGTCTCGTTTTTAGGCGATGTTTTTGTTTCGTGCTGGTGAGCACTCTGTCGCTGTCTCTCTTTTTCGCTCTCTCCCTCTCCTCATTTTGCCGTTTGGCCAGCTGCTGGTGACTTTTGAGTCGAGTCAAAAGCCACCTCGTTTTGCCAGCTGCTGGTGACTTTTGAGTCGAGTCAAAAGCCACCTCGTTTGGCCAACCGCTGGTGGAGTTCCACCAGTGAGTGTCACATTTTCAGCCAATTTTTTAGGCAGCTTTGCCTTATAGCTGTTTCTTTCTTCTTCTTCTCCACCACTATTCCTCCTCCCCTCCCCCCCTCCCTTTCCCCATCTCCCGCCCGCCTTGTCCCTACATGTTGCCCTTACCCCTTCCTCCACCCGTACCTCCCCTTCCCCCCCTCCTCCTCCCCGTCTGTACAGCATGCACGACCCCAAGCGGTCGCTGCCCTTCCTCTACGCCGTGGAGGGCATGGGGTACCGCATGTTCCACGTGGAGCCCAACCCCCTCTTTCCCCCTATCCCCCTCCCCCTCAACACATACAGCATGCACGACCCCAAGCGCTCCCTCCCCTTCCTCTATGCCATGGAGGGCATGGGGTACCGCATGTTCCACGTGGAGCCTAACCCCCTCTGCTACTCGTGCATCGAGGTGGCTTTTGTTCATGAGGACCTGGTAGTACCGCCGCTAAGCCTCGACTGCTCGGCTGTGCTAAGACAGTCTCCCGTGTCAGAGTATGTGGCGAGATGGTTGCCAGGAGGAGGAGGTGGGAAAAACAGCAACAATGGCAGTACCAGCAGCAGCAGAAGCAGCACAGGGACTGGTGGGGGTGGTGGTGGTGAGGGTGGTGTGTAGACTAACCTAGCCCAACCCCCTCTGCTACGCGTGCATCGAGGTGGCGTTCATACATGAGGACCTCGTTGTGCCGCCGCTAAGCCTCGACTGCTTGGCCGTTCTCAGGCGCTCTGCCGTGTCAGATTATGTGGCAAGATGGTTGCCGGGGGGGGGGGGGGAAGCGGAAGTAGCAGCGGCAGCACCACAGGCACTGGTGGTGGTGCGGGTGGTGGTGAGAAGATCACCTCAACAAAGCATCGTGTTTATTGGTTCGAAGCTAGCACTTAGCACACATGTTTTGTCAACTTCCTATAGTAGATATGTCTTTCTTCAAATAAATGAGAAAGAAATGAAGGAGCTTTTCAAATGTCTCTACTGAAAAGTGAGCTGGTTGTATCAGTTCGACGTTTGCAGTATTGAGGATTTTCGCCAAACGGGCTTGGTCGGCGACTTCTGACCAATCAGCAGCCCTTGTGCGAAAATCAGTCGCCAAAACTCTCGGCGAAAGAAGATTGTGTTCGCTGCCCGACAATTCAGTTCGTCAGTGAGAGGAGTCAAGCTCATCAAACGCTGCTGACTCGATTTCGTCACTGTCGCTGAGAGTATCCGCGACGGCATGGCATGGTAGTTGACTCATCGTTGACCGAGGTTCAGCGAAACTGGACTTTGCCTACGGGTCTGCGACTGGCCAACTGCCTGACAGACGGACGGAAGCCGCTGTTACGTGTACTGCTGTAAAATGCCAAGCCAAGCGAGCACCCATAATCGATAAAATCTCTGCGACCAACGAGACTGGCTTGCGACGTTGTACGACAGAAACGACCTTGATTCTACTGAGTGCAGAGTAAACATGAGAGGTTGTGATGTGAACTTCTGAAGCCTAGGTTCTGCCGAGCTGGGTACTGAGAGTGATTATGGAGCTCGTGTCTGACACTAGAGTCAGACGGGAACACCCGAGGTAGAAAATTAGACGGCTGTTTGACTGGAATCTCACGTTCAGCTGACAAAATTAGCGACAGACGAGTAGCACGAAAGCTGATCGAATATCGTCCGCCAGTCTACGACTCGCAATGCCATATAGTCACAATTCGTTCTGGCTCTATTTCTCGCTTTCACGTGACCGGCAGAATCACAAGACCCTAAGTTGGGTCTGCAAAACCCGCGGCTCCTTCGGCCGCGGGTCAGTCTCGGGTCAGACCCGAGGTGCGGAATCCCTCTCAACCTCTATGAATCTCTAGAATACTAGGAGCTCGACGAAAAAACGTCAGGCAAATTAGGTCTACATTCGTGGCTGTGTGAATTCAGAGGATTCGAAAGTCCAGCAGCTTTCTCCGTTGATCTTGAATCACAGGCGCTTCTTGCCGGCGTTGTTGCACTGTTCTCTGATTACTCGAGAGAGCATCGCTTAGCGGGCAGTGGCTTGAGTCGCTGAATGTCAGAAAGTAAGCAGTTTCCATCACCTGGATCCTGAAAACTCGTTTTGAGACGCCTCAAAATTAAGTTATTATCCCATGGAGTAAGCAGGTTCCAGCAGAAGGATCCTGAAACAAGCTGTCGCACGCGGACAACGAAACTATTTTCCATTCCTAGTCTGTGCTTTTCTTGCAATACTCTCATCTATATTATTCACTTTATCGTAAGTCGTAGCTCGGCCTATCCTTACCGCTTGAAATGTCGTTCCCAATCCACGTGGCACATCACCTATTCAGCCAGGTCTGTCTCGCTCCTTTTCGCCCGGCTCTCGCACGTTTTGCGTGTTGAGCTATATGACCTTTCGCTCTCAAATTGGCTTCCTTCATAATTGGTCGTTTAACTCGTGAGACCACACGCAAGGTCACTTTCCTGCTGAGCTCTACCCTCAAGCTACCCTCGAAACCTTCACCTCTTGACTGTGAATGTCTTCTCCTTCTCAATCCTTCCGTTATCGTGTGCTTCGTTTCCTCCGTGCTTTTCTTTCTTTATCCCACCATCCTGTGAATCTACGTCCAAACGCTACGCGTGAAACAGGGCACCATTCTTTTCCCGGAGGACAACGACCTTCCAGAGACTTCTGGCTTAAGAGCTTCTAAGATCTTTCAGGCGTTGAGAATTTATCCGAAGGCTGCTTCTGAAGGAACAGTACTGCTGTGTTTGAGACGTTAACGAGCTGTGCTGTACACTATACACTTTTTCTACAGCGTTGTCCCTGCCGCGTCGAGGTTGACAGTAATTCCTTCACTATGGGAAGCGGATCATCTAAAGACGGGGTTATCAACAAAGACGTAGGTGAGGATTCCGCTATCCCACTTGAGCAGCACACATATTCTGCGAGGCAGCGACTTCTTTGGAAATGCTTAGCGTTGGTATGGGAAGCGGATCATTTAAAGACGGGGTTGTCAACAAAGTCATAGGTGAGGACTCCGGTATTCCACTTGATTCTTTGAAGAATTCATATTCTTTCTTTCAACCATTTCACAGCATTTCTGGTGGCAAGGATGCCACGTCACCCTGAACTCTCTTTCTGCTTGACGTGGACCAGTAGTCCCTCCGTGTGCTGTTTTCCAGATGTGCGTCTCCGTGCTCGTTCCATCTCGCCTCTCCCCCTTCTTTCCTTCTCCCCCTGGTGTCTCTCCCCTCCTCACCAGGATCCACTAAAAACTCGGTGATTTTCGTGCAGCCTGGCCTGAAGGCCGTCTGTGATTGTTTAGACGACTCAGATATTACCTTTTGCCCCGGTGGTGTCTCTCCCCTCCTCACCAGGGTCCACCAAGAACTCTGTCATTTTCGTGCAGCCCGGCCTGAAAGGCGTATGTCAAGATTCTGCGCTCGCCACAGAGGTGAGACTAAGCAGTCTCGTGAGGAGATTCATCTGTGTGGGTGCTAACCTTTGGCTGTCCTTCACCTCTCGTCTGAGACGACTCAAACATAAACTAAACTACTTACCCACGCTTGCCACAGAGGTGAGAATAGGCAGTCTCATGAGGAAAGTCATCTGTGTGGATGCTATCCTTTGGCTGTCCTTCACCTCTCGTCTCCTTTGCATTGATCCAAGGGTGCATGTCAAAAATCCACGCTTGCAACAGAGGAATGCAGCAGTGCAGCTGAGAGCACTGTGTTTGCTTGTTTCCATGGCACTGCACGGTCAGCTGCCAGAGACGCTACCCTCAAGCCCGCCTATCCTTACCCCCCACCCTCCCACCCTCCCACAGATCCTCATCCTTACAGCCATGTCAGGCGAGCAGGGGAGCACCCTGGTTGGGGTGTTTGACGGGCACTGCTTGTCCAGCCACTACGTTTCCAAAGACGGCCCGCGAGCAGCTGCCAGAGCCACTACCCTCAAGCCCGCCTCTCCTTCCCGTCCCCCCTCCCACAGAGCCTCATTCTCACACCCACGTCCGGGGAGGCAGGCAGCATGCGACCAGCTGCCAGAGCGGCTCAAAGCAGCCATGGAGAGCACGCAGCATGAGCTCGCCCATGTGGACGGGGCGGCTGCCAGGGAATGTCTCGAACACCCCTCTTCTCTTCCTCCTCCTCCCCTCCCCTTTCCCCCCTTCCTGTCCCCCCTCCCTCCGTTCCCCCCTCCCTCCGTTCCCCCCTCCATCCGTTCCCATGCACTTGCAGAATCTCATCCTTACAGCTTCGTGCGGGGACGCAGGCAGCACCCTGGTGGGGGTGTTTGACGGGCACGGCTTGTCCGGGCACTACGTGTCCAAGACGGCCCGCGACCAAGTCCCCGAACGGCTCAAAGCAGCGGTGGAGAGCACACAGCACGAACTGGCGCATGTGGAAGGGGCGGCTGCCAGGGAGGTGTGGATGCGCGTGTTCAGTGGAGTTTTTAGTGACATTGATGAGGAGCTCAGGAAGGACCTGTTTCACAACCGGGACAGCGGGTCCACAGCTGTGGTGGCACTCAGGCTGGTAGGTGCGCTAGCTGCTAGCTGCTTGCTGCCAGGGAGGACGTGTGGATGCGCGTGTTCAGTGGGGTGTTCAGCGATATCGACGAGGAGCTCAGGAAGGACCTGTTTCACAACCGGGACAGCAGGTCAACGGCTGTGGTGGCACTCAGGCTGGTATGTGTGCTGCCTGCTTGCTGCCAGGGACGTGTGGATTCGCGAGTTCAGTGGGGTGTTTAGTGACATTGATGATCCATAGTGGGGGCACTCAGGCTAACCCTCACTTCTGTCCTGTCCTCTCTGCATGCCCGTCCCCCCCCCCCACCCACCCACCATGCCCGCTTCAACCTGCTTCCCAGGGCTCGGAGCTGATAGCGGCGCACATAGGCTACTCCCGCTGTGTTCTCGCTCACACGTCTGTCCTGTCCTCTCTGCACTCCGTCCCGTTCCCCCCCCCTTTCCCCCCCACCCCACCATTGACGCGTCAACCCGCTTCTCAGGGCTCGGAGCTGATAGTGGCGCACATAAGCGACTCCCGCGGTGTGCTGGCTCGCACTGCCAGAGCTCCGCTGTCCCATTCGCACTCTACCCTAACCCCGAATTCCCTTCCCCCATCCCCCCTAACCCCCCCCTTCCCCCACCCCTACATCTCTCAGGGCTCGGAGCTGATAGTGGCGCACATAGGCGACTCACGCTGTGTGCTCGCTCGCACTGCCAGAGCCCCTCCTAACGGGAAGAGCGATGGAGGGACAATAGAAGCTCTGCAGCTGACCACAGACCACAAGGCCAGCAACCCAGGTGAGGCAATTCGCCGAGTAGCAATATGGGCAACATGATGGTGTCGGCGAACGACCCCCTGGCTCAAGGTGAGTGACGTGAACCCACTTGCTTCCACTAGGACCTAGCAACAATGGCGGCTCTGCAGCAGCTGACCACAGACCACAAGGCCAGCAACCCAGGTGAGACGGAGTGTACCACACAGGTGAGCTGCTGCAATGCCATGTAGCAGCACTTTATCCGATGTAACACTAAATATGCCATGCCATGTGCGTGTGCCTTTTTCAGGCGCCTAAAGAATGAGCTGCTGCAATGCCATGTAGTAGCACTTTATCCGATGTAGCACCATATGCCATGCCACGTGAGCTGTGCTTTCCCACACTGCCAGAGCTGACTTTCGAGTCGACTCAAAAGTCACCCCGTGAGCTGCTGCAATGCCCTGTAGCACCATATGCCATGCCATGTGAGCTGTGCTTTCCCGCTCTGCCAAAGGTTCCCCAACTTCAGAATATTCCCTTCTGCAAAACCGACCCAACCCTGTCTCTCACTCTCTCTCCCTCCCCTCCCCTACCCCACCACAGCTGAGAAGGTCTGGGTGACAGAGGCAGGCGGCAACTTTCCTCCCTGCCAGACACAACCCTAATTCAGGCGCTCTCTCTCTTGCTCCCTCCCCTCCCCTACCCCACCACAGCTTAGAAGGTCCGAGTGGCAGAGGCGGGTGGCAAGGCCCTCAACTACACGAACACCACCGACAGAATCTTCCTCTCTTCTGTCTCCTCGTCTCCTCCCCTCCCCCCCCCACGATCCGTCCCCTAGTGCAGCTGAGAAGGTCCCAAGTGACGTAAGCAGGTGGCACGGTGTTCAACTACATGAGCACCGTGGACAGAACCTCCCTCCCGGGAAGGACCGCCCTAACCCCCTGTGCTCTCTCTCCTTGTGCCCTCTTTCTCGCCTTCCCTCGCATCTGAGAAGGTCCAGGTGCAAGAGGCAGGCGGCAGTTTTGAGGCGCCTCAAAACTAGTGCAAGAGCCGGGTAGCAAGGTGATCAGCTACATGAACTCCATTGACAGAACCTTCCTTCCAGCGAAGAGCCCCGCAGACCTCTGTGCTGCCTCTCCTTCTGCCCCCTTCCTCGCCTTCCCTCATCAGCTGAGAAAGTCCGAGTGCAAGAGGCAGGCGGCCAGGTTTCTCAACTGTGTGCCCTGACCCTCTGGTCTCTCTGCCAGGTTACTGGCAGTGGCACATGGCTTTCCTTTGACGGCTTAGCACCTTGAGGCGCCTTACGTTACGGAGCCCTTTATGAACTGTCCCCGCAAACCCACCCTCCCCACCCCACCCCACCTTTCTCCTGCCCTCCTTCCCCTGGTGCAGCTGAGAAGGTTCGAGTGCAAGAGGCAGGTGGCAAGGTGCTCAACTACATGAACACCATCGACAGAATCTTCCTCCCAGGGAAGAGCGAGCCGGGGCTGGCAGTGGCGCGTGCGTTTGGCGACTTCGAGCTCAAGTCCCACGGGCTGATCTGCCGGCCGGATCTGAGCGTGCGCAGCGTTGACCCCCGGGATCAATTCGTGGTCATGGGCTCTGACGGGGTGAGTGGGCTCTGACGGGGTGAGTGGGCCCTGACGGGGTGAGTGGGCTCTGACGGGGTGAGTGGGCTCTGACGGGGTGAGTGGGCTCTGACGGGGTGAGTGGGCTCTGACGGGGTGAGTGGGCACTGACGGGGTGAGTGGGCTCTGACGGGGTGAGTGAGTGGTTGTGGATGGGCTCTGACGGGGTGAGTGAGTGGTTGTGGATGGGGTTGGGGTTGAGTGCTCCAAGGGTGGTTTGATCTCTCTATGGAGCAAGTCCCACGGGCTGATCTGCCGGCCAGACTTGACCGTGCGCAGCGTCGACCCCAGGGATCATTTCGTGGTTAGGGGCTCTGGCGGGGTGAGTGCTTTGCCAGTTGTGTCCCTGGCTCACTCAGGTGTGTTTGCATGGGCATCTGGTTACTGGCTTTGGCGTGGATGTGGGGGGTCTGACAGGGTAACCGTAGTGGCTCTTCTCCCGGGGAAGAGCGAGCCGGGGCTGGCAGTGGTGCGTGCATTTGGCAACTTGGAGCTCAAGTCCCACGGGCTGATCTGCTGGCCGGACTTGACCGTGCGCTGCGTTGACCCCATGGATTAATTCGTGGTTATGGGTTCTGTCGGGGTGAGAGCAGCTCCCAGGGCTTCAAAAGGGGGGACTTCTTGGGGTTGTGGTGCAGCGAGTGTTTAGAGGGGCATCCGAGAACACTCGCAGCTGCCCCTCTAAACACTCGCTTCCCATTGGCTGATCTGCCGGCCGGACGTGACTGTGCTGTGCGCAGCGTTGACCCCAGGGATTGGTTTGTGGTGATGAGCTCTGATGGGGTGAGTGCAGCTGCGAGAACTTCTGATGGGTGAGTTTGTGGGGCTGTGTTTGTTGCATGTAAAGCTCAAGTCCCATGGGCCGATCTGCCGGCCGGGTGTGACCGTGCGCAGCGTCGACCCGGGGGATCAACTCTTGGTTATGGGCTCTGACAGAGTGAGTTCCTGGGTTGAGTGCTCCAAGGGTAGGCACTCAGGGATTAAATCCCACGGGCTCATGTGCCGGCCGGACGTGACAGTGCGGAGCGTCGGCTCCAAGGGCCACTATGTGGAGATGTGTTCTGATGGGGTGAGTGAGTGGTTGGGGCTGAGTACCCCATGGGTGGTTTGACCCATCTATTAAGCAGGGTGTTTTTTTAGAAACCTTAAAAACACCCTGCGAAATCCAGGGGTGGTTTGACCCATCTTTTGAGCTAGTCCCAGGGCTGATCTGCCGGCCGGACTTGGCTGTGCGGAGCGTTGACTCCAAGAATTAATTTGTGGTGATGGGCTCTGACAGGGTGAGTATGTGGGGTTGTGGTGCAACGAGTGTTTAGAGTGGCACCAGAGCAGGTCCCACGTGCTGATCTGTCGGCTGGACTTGGCTGTGCAGAGTGTTGACTCCAAGGACCAATTCGTTGTGTTGGGCTCTGACGGGGTGAGCGTCTGTAAGGAGGGGTGAGCCCACCCAGAGTTTACAAGGGTGGTGCAAGGCATCTAGACGGCAAGTCTCGCGGATGGGGTGAGTGTTTGGTGTTGTGTGTTTGGGGCATCTAGTGACCAAGTCTCACAGGCTGGTCCGCTGACTTGACTGTGCGGAGCGTTCACTCCAAGGATCAGTTCATGGTGATGGGCTCTGATGAGGTAAGTGCTTGTAAGGAGGGGTGAGCACACCGAGAGTTTATAAGGGTGGTGCGAGGCATCTAGAGAACAAGAGTTGCGGATGGGGTGAATGTTTGTGGTTGAGTTTTGGGGCAGCAAGTCCCACAGGCTGGTCTGCAGACTTGACTGTGCGGAGTGTTGAACTCGAAGGATCTGTTTGTGGTGGGGTGCTCTGTTTGTTGATGTGCTCTGATGGGGTGGATGTCTCGAGAGTGAGAAGGCATGTGCATGGGCGTTTGATGCCTTGGGCTATTTCAAGCTCTCAATCTAGTCCATCAAGCCTCACATGCAAGCTGGACTTGACTGTGCGGACCGTTTCGTTGGGATGGCTTCTGATGGGGTGAGTGCTTGGGGTTCTGTTTTGAGGCAACGGACTCAAACTGGAAGGGCTGATTTGCAGGCTCTCTTTATTTCTATGCTTACTACTGTGCTGACGTGCTCACAGATGCGGATAGTGAGGAGGTGGTGGAGATAGGGGCAAACTCAGGGCCCAAGAGCAAGGCAGCACAGCAGCCTCCCTCGTGCAATTGTCATACCTATGACCACCCCCTCTCCTGCCCCCCCACTCCTTTCTTAGGTGTGGGACGTGCTGACAAATGCGGAGGTGGTGGAAATAGGGGCTAAAGCATGGCCCTGGAGCAAGGAAGGTGGCTCAATTTCCTGCGCGTGCCAACACACACCCGTCCCCCCTGCAGGTGTGGGACATGCTCACAAATGCGGAAGTGGTGGAGACAGTGTCAAACGCGTGGCCCAGGAGCAACGCAGCACAGCAGGCTCTCTCGTGCTACTTTCAAGCCCCCAAACACCCCCTCCCCTCCCGTCGCCCTCTCCCTCCCCCCTTCTACAGGTGTGGGATGTGCTCACAAATGCGGAGGTGGTGGAGATAGTGGCAAACGCATGGCCCAGGAGCAAGGCAGCGAAGCAGGTGGCTCAAAAGGCGGTGGCGAAGTGGGCTGAGGAGAAACACGCCAACTCCAGAGACGACATTTCCGTAGCTGTCCTGTTCTTTTAAGGAGGACAGGGGAGGAGGGGGTGGGGGGGGGGGGGGGGGGGGGGGGGGGTGGGGGGGAATGTCAACTTATACATATGTTTATATGTAGAAGTTATAGGCTTGATAGGTTTGTGTTCATAGAGGGTACAACTCCAACCCTATATCTCCCCTGTTCTCACTTGTTCTAGTTATTCTGCTATTCTAACATGGTATCATAGTAGGTTAGGTCTGCCCACCCGCTTCCGCCCTAGCCCTAGCCTACTGCCCCATCGTTCCCCTTAGCGTGCCCCGCCGATCCCTCGCATCCTGCCGGCCATTAGTGCCCCGCCGGCCCCTCACGTACCCCGCCGGCCCCTCGTGTGCCCGCCGGCCCTTAGCACTCCGCCGGCCCTTAGCGCCCCGTCGGCCCTTAGCGCCCCGCCAGCCCTCGCGTGTCCCGTCGGCCCCTCGCGTGCCTGCCGGCCCTTAGCGCTCCGCCGACCCCGGTAATCCCTTAAGCGCCCCGCCAGCCCTAAGCGCCCTGCCAGCCCTAGCCGCTGGCCGCTGGCCCTACCACCCCGCCTAGCCCTAGCGCTCCGCCGGCCCTTGGCACCCCGCCACCCCTTTCAAGCCCTGCCGGCCCATCGTGCCTCACCAGCCTACTACGCGCCTCGGGCCCTGTGCGCCTCGCTCGACCTTCCACTCGGTCTTCCCGCCGGAGAGTTCTGCCGCCACGCCGCTGTGCCGTTGTGTTGCTGTGCCGCTGTGCCGCCCTGTCGCTGTGCCGCCGTGGAGCTGTAACGCTGAGGTTGCATGATGGCGGACGACGTACTCCGCCTGGACGCGGAGGGGCACGCGATCGACTTCGTCGCCTAGCTTGTCGATCTCCGCCGTCACCTAACAGGTCAGCGCCAGGATGGGCACTCCCTGGCTGTGCATGTTGATGGTTTGCTTCCCCGCCCCCCCGCGCCTGATCCCCTCCCTGCAGACCCCATCACTGCTAAGCATAGGTTAGGTCTGCCCACCCGCTTCGCCCAAGCCCTTAGCGCCCAGACGACCCCTCTCGCGCCCGCTGATCCTCTACGCCCCTTGCCGGCCCTTAGCACCCCGCCAGCCCTTAGCGCCCCGCCGGCCCCTCGCGTACCCCGCCGGCACCTCGCGTTCCCGCTGGCCCTTAGCGCCCCGCCGGCCCTTAGCGCCCCGCCGGCCCCTCGCGTACCCCGCCGGCCCCTTGCGCACCTTGCCGGCCCTTAGCGCCCCGCCGGCCCCTCGCGTACCCCGCCGGCCCCTCGCGTGCCCGCCGGCCCTTAGCGCCCCGCCAGCCCTTAGCGCCCCGCCGGCCCTCGCGTGCCCGCTAGCCCTTAGCACCCCGCCAGCCCTTAGCGCCCTGCCGGCCCCTCGTGTACCCCGCCGGCCCTTAACGCCACGCCGACCCTCGCATGCCCCGTCGGCCCCTCGCGTGCCCGCCGGCCCTTAACGCTCCGCCGACCCTACTGGTCCCTTCAGCGCCCATACGGCCCGAAGCGCCCCGCCAGCCCCTCGAGCTCCCGCTGGCCCTACCGCCCCGCCTGGCCCTAGTGCTCTGCCGGCCCTTGGCGCCCCGCCGCCCCTTTCGAGCCCCGCCGGCCCATCGCGCCTCGCCGGCCTACTATACGCCTCAGGCCCTATGCGCCCCGCTCGGCCTTCCGCTCAGTCTTCCCGCCGGAGAGCTCTAACGCCATGCCGCTGTGCCGCCGTGTCGCCATGCCGCAATGCCGTCGTGTCGCTGTGTCGCCGTGGAGCTGTGACGCTCATGTTGCATGAGGGTAGACGCCGTACTCGCTTGGACGCGGAGGGGCACGCTGTGAGAGTACGACCCCGTTCCATTCCTTTCTCCTTTCCATCTTCCCTTTCCATTTCATTCCTCATTTTATCCTGATTCATTTGGTCTTTATCTCATTCCATTTGGATTCCTATTCCTCCTTTTCCATAAACCTTTGGTTTTACATGTTATTATCATTATATCACCGACTAGGCTCAGGATGTACCAGCACGCTATATCTAGCGTAATCCTGTCGTAATCCCTTAAAGCCAATAGCCTCGCGTGGCTATACGCAGGGTGATTCTATTTTCTAGAAGGGTTTATTCCCTTGGGATAGGATAAACCTGGTTACCTGATGGACTTTGGAAGTATAAAAGCGCCTTGTATCAATCGATAGTGCAACCTTTCCTCGACATATTCGATACTGTGACACTTGGTAATCAGAGCTTTTCTCATTCGGCCGCGCTCAGCTAAGAAGCAGCAGCGGGGATCCTGCCTCGAAAAACCGCCGGGGGCGACCAATTCGACGCCGATTCTGGTAAGCACCAGCTTCGCGTTTTTTCGAATTACCCCCACCACGCGTGTTTTGAACAGGATGGCGAACTTGGACAACGCCGAAGTTACCCAGCAGCTCTTCGCAAGCATCGCCACCCTACAGGAGGAGATGCGAGCCGACCACGAAGCTTGGCGACAAGAGTTTGAGCGAGTAACTCGACTCGCCGGCGCGCAACACGAAACGACAACGGCGACGACGCAGCAGTCGCAGCAGTTTCTCGAGGCTCCGAAACCGCGCCCACCTGAGCCGTTCGATCCGAGCGATCGAAATTCCGACGCCCGCAGATGGATCACCGGCATGGAGATCTACTTCGCAGCCGTCGGATGGAGCTCGCCAGTCTGGGACGGACAACGCGTATGACTCGCGGCAACACTGATGGAAGGGCCGGCACTCGAGTGGATCGGCGGAAACAGCACCTTCATTCACGGCGAAGCCACGTGGCAGCAGTTCCGCACCGACCTGCTGAAACGTTTCGAGCCGATAAATTCGGGTTTCCTTGCCCGGGAAAAAATTCACCGCCATCGACAGTTCGGGAGTGTAGCGCAGTACACGCAGCAGATGGAGGAATTTTATAACCGCATTCCCGACCTGACCGAAGGGGAAAAGTACAGTCGTACCTCGCCGGGCTGAAGATCGAAGTCAAACGGCAAGTGGCAGCGACAAATTTCGCAAGCTACAGTGACGTCGTTTCGGCAGCAGAACGCTTCGACACGGTCAACGCCGGGACACGACGGGCGCACATCAGCAGTACGCGACAGGGCGACCGCTCGGCTCACACCACATTCGCCGACCCGATGGAAATCGACAGGTTCGACGGGCGGCCACCTCCGAAAAACACCAACTTCACGTGTGATTTTGGCGGGGTGCCGGGCCATCGAATCTTCGACTGCAACAAAATGAAAGCCGCACGCGCCGAGTATCGGGCGCGCAACAGTGGCGGAAATCCTTCGGCCAATCAGAAGACAAAAAACGGGACTCGCGAGTGATTGCGGATCTAACTGGCGAATAAGAAAAGATCCGAAAGCAGCCGCAGACTTCCGGAAAAATCAACTTTGGCGCAGTTGATTCAACGCGAACAGGAGATAATGATGGGGAAAAATCTCCACCCCACGACCAGTCTTTGCCAGAGAAAATCGCCGAGGAAAAATCCAACTCCGCGAAAAAGGACTCTGCCAAGACGGGGTAACTCCTTGAAGACCCAAGAAATTATAAGGATTCGTTCAAGTTATCTTATAAAGAGGCTTTAATGAAAACTTGTAATTCTCGAGGGGCTAGAGCCTTGGAGAAATTTCGGGAGGGACTCGAGTAGAAGCAGAAAATTATGGAGATCGTGCTGGTACCTAAGGAGTGTGGAAAGAAGCCGACATTTCCACGGAGTCAACGTCCTCTCCCGACACCAGCCCACAACGACTACCGTTCCCCAGGGAGGACGTCGGTGGAACTGAAGCAGCTCAAGAGGAAGCTGGGGGTCTATAAGAAACTGCAAAAACCCCGAACTCCTTCTTCAGATGCATCCAACTCGGCAACTTCGTCAACGACACGAACAGTCGTCACGGAAACTCCGGGCCCTGCAGAAGAGCCTTTCTCCAAGCAGCCTCGGCCAACTGCCAGCTCAAGAGTAGGAAGCAACGAATATTGGGATGTACCCTATGACCCAATCAATGAAACTATTTTTGGGTACTCCGAGCAACGCGTGCCCCTCGTGCTCGAGGTCATCTGCAAAGGACGACGCCTCCAACCACTCGTGGACAGCGGAGCATCGCACACCGTATGCGACAAGGCAACCATCGAGCATCTACAACAAAGGAAGGAGAGTCCAGCTACCCAACTGGGATGATACAGGAGAAATCCCAGTGGAGACACTCGCCAGGTTCAAGAAGGATGTCAAGCGAATAAAGGAGTTCCAAGATATTCTTCCCGACGACCTCCAGGACGAGCTACCGCCATACCGTACGCACCAGCACGAGATCGTGGAGGAACCAGGTTCGAAGCCGACCTTCCGAGCACCATATCGGCTCAGCCCTACAGAGCTAGCCGACATGAAAAAGCATATCGAGTATCTCCTTGCCAAATGACTTATCCGACCATCCACTTTGCCATACGGTGCCCCAGTACTCTTCACGATGAAACCGGACGGGAGCCTGCGCATGTGCATCGATTACCGAGCTCTCAACAAGCAGACCATAAAAAACAAATACTCGATTCCACGAATCGATGACCTGCTTGACCAGCTTCGGGGAGCCACGGTATTTTCAAAACTATATCTGCGGTCCGGATAGTGGCAGATACGAATGGCAGACGATTCTGTTCACAAAACTGCCTTCCGAACTCGGTACGGATCGTACGAGTGTCTGGTGATGCAGTTCGGACTCACCAACGCACCTGCAACGTTACAAGCACAGATGAATCACATCCTACACCCACTCTTGGACGAACGCGTGGTGGTGTACTTGGACGACATCCTCGTCTACTCGCGCAACATGCAACAACACGTCGAACACCTGCGACGCGTCTTCGAAATTCTTCGACGAGAACGCTTCTACGTCAAACTATCCAAGAGCGACTTCACCCTCGAGAAAGTCCGATTCCTTGGACATATCGTAAGCGCTCAAGGAGTTCACGTCGACCCCAAGAAAATTGAAGCCGTGCGTACGTGGAAAACACCCGAGAACGTGAAGGAGCTACAGCAGTTCCTAGACTTCGCTAACTACTACAACAGGTTCGTGCCGCAATACGCGAAGATCGCCGCGCCATTCACGAATCTTCTAAAGAAGAACACGCCCTATAACTGGGAACCAAAACACCAAGAAGCCGTGGAGCAGCTGAAGCAAGCACTCACGTCCGCACCCGTACTCATCTTGGCAGACCCCGAACGCGACTACGTAATCGAAGCTGACGCCAGCGACCAGGCAGTGGGAGCAGTCTTGATGCGAGACCAGGGGAATGGACTGCAACCAATGGCCTAACTCAACAAAAAATTACATGGAGCAGAACTCAACTACCCGATACACGACAAGGAGGCCCTGGCTATTATCATCACCTTCAAAACATGGAGATGTTATCTCGAAGGACGCAATACAACAGTCTACACCGACCATTGCAGCCTAAAATATTTGAAGACGCATCGGTGGATCGACTTCCTCGAGACGCACTTCCACTACGACATCGTGTACAAGCCTGGCCATAAAAACAAAGCCGACGCACTTAGCCGGCCCGCACGCATTGCCGCGATCCAGGTTGAAGGGATGAATCCACTCCTCAAGGGACTCTTCACACACGGGTACACCATCGACCCCGAAATCCCTTTGGCATAAAAACGACATCTGCTATAGTGGGACAACGACATCGCGTACCGGAAAGGTTCAACGAAGATCTGGGTACCTAATTACCCTCCATTGTGCTAGTTACTACTTAAAGAATACCACGACGTCCTGTACGGGGGACACTTCGGTAGCAACAAGACGCTCACCGGTATCGCCAAACACTACTCTGGCCCCACATGGCAGATGACGTACATAAATTCATCACCTCGTGCACTACATGGCAGCGGATGAAGAGCAGCAAGCAGAAAAAGGCGGGTCTGCTACAGCCTCTTCCTGCCCCAAAACAGCCATGGCAAGTGGTCAGCCTAGACTTCATCACCGGGCTACTAACTACCACAAGCGGTCATGACGCGATCCTCGTCGTCATTGACAAGTTCTCCAAAATGGGACACTTCATCCCGACACACATGAGAGCACGCACCGAGGAGACAGCACAACTCTTTGTTCACTACATCATTTCACAACATGGCATTCCAACTACACTCATATCCGACCGAGACCCTAAGTTCACCAATAAATTCTGGAAAGAACTGATGTCTCTACTCGGAACCAAACTCGCCATGTCATATGCATACCATCCGCAAACAGACGGCCAGACTGAGCGTCTTAACCAAATTGTGGAGCAGCTCCTCCGCGCAGCCTGCAAGGACGACATCTCCAAGTGGGACTTGCATCTGCCCGTCCTGGAGTTTGCCTACAACAATGCTACTCACGCCGCTACTGGACAGACGCCGTTCTTCCACTGTTACGGACGCCGCCCACTCACACCTCAACAGCCAAACATACCAGCCATAGTCCAACCCGCTCATGATTTCATCACGACCATGCACAAACTTTGGGATCGGACCCACAAGCGCCTTCTCGACATTCACCAACAACAGAAGCGCCAGGCCGATCGCCACCGCACAGACCCCACCATCACCGTGGGAGACCGAGTACTTCTCGATACGCGCAATCTTGACATCAGCCATCTCCCATCCAAACTGCAACCTCGCTTTTGCGGGCCTTTCCTCGTTGAAGCACAGGTCACGCCTGTTACCTTCCGCTTATGCCTACCAGTTACCTGGAAGATTCACAACGCCTTCCATGTCCAACTCTTGAAGCCCTACCGAGATCCCAACACGGTCTTCTCCGGACGCCAACCGCCGCCGTCGCCGCCCGTCCTCGTCCATGATGAACTCGAGTACGAGGTTGAGTCCGTGCTTGCTCACCGCCGTCGACGGAATGGCCACATGGAGCTTCTCATCCGTTGGAAGGGTTATGATCCTTCAGAGGATAGCTGGGTCTCTGAATCCGAGATGGATCATGCTCGCCATCCTCTTCGCGACTACCTTGTCAAGCAGGGTGTTACGCCTACCACCCAGCTTTGAGAGGGGGAAGTGTGAGAGTATGACCCCATTCCATTCCTTTCTCCTTTCCATCTTCCCTTTCCATTTCATTCCTCTTTTTATCCTGATTCATTTGGTTTTTATCTCATTCCATTTGGATTCCTATTCCTCCTTTTCCATAAACCTTTGGTTTATCCTGTTATTATCATTATATCACCGACCAAGCTCGGGATGTAATGGCACGCTATATCTAGCGTAATCCTGTCATAATCCCTTAAAGCCAATAGCCTCGTATGCCTATACGCAGGGTGATTCTATTTTTAAGAGGGGTCTATTCCCTTTGGATAGGATAAACCTGGTTACCTTATGTACTTTGGAAGTATAAAAGCGCCTTGTATCAATCGATAGTGCAACCTTTCCTCGACACATTCGATCCAGTGACACACGCGATCGTTTTTGCCACCTGGCTTGCCGATCTCCGCCGTCACCTGACACGTCAGCGCCAGGATGGGCACTCCCTCCCCAAGGGAGGGCGCGGTGGTGGTACTAATGGTGGTGGAGGTGGTGGTGGTGGTGGTGGTGGTGGTGGTGGTGGTGGTGGTGGTGGTGGTGGTGGTGGTGGTGGTGGTGGTGGTGGTGGTGGTGGTGGTGGTGGTGGTGGTGGTGGTGGTGGTGGTGGTGGTGGTGGGGACGGTGGTTCTGACGAGGGGGTTGGGGCTGGTGTACAGGAGCAGAAGTACCCGCAGCCGACACAAATGCAGTTGTCTCAGCAGCAGCCACAGCGGCAGCAGCAGAAGCAGCCGTGGGCCCGCCTCCCGCCGGGGTGGCCAGGAGCACCTGGAGGTGGTGGCCGTGGTGGCGGCCCTCGCAGCTTTGCATCTACCAGCGGCTTCGGTGCTGTGAGCTGCCAGTACCAGCTCCAGATCAGGCCCCTCCGTGGCACTCTGTGCCACCGCCCGCACACGACCGCTCGTTGCTTTCATCGCCTCGACGACCTCTTCCATCGCCGCTTTGGCCTAGCCCCAGACCTCTCTGACTTGCCCAGTCTGCTGCGTCACGGTGTGCCTGTTTTTGACTTAGACATGGATCAGATTAGTTCTGCCCTCCATTCTCTGTATGCTGACGCTTCTAGTGTGTCCGAATCTTATTACCTTGTGTTCTCTAGTTTAGGCGTAGTACCTGTGTTGATTGCTCACTCACCTGTCACTTCTGTGGCACCGCCGCCTAGGTCACCCAGCACTCCCGTGTCTACATCACATGTCTCAACATGGCTCCGTCCTAGGACTCCCTGCGTCGCTCCCTGCCCTCCCACCCTTGCCTGCGCCACCGTGCACGCCCTGCGTCGAGGGCCGGCTGCGCCATGCTCCTCAATCCTCCTCGCTTCGCCCTGCCACTGCACCACACCATACCCTGCACTTGGACGTCTGGGGACCAGCCCCAGTCCCTGGGCCGCGTCGCGAGTGCTACTTTCTCGTGCTCGTTGACGACTACACGCGCTACACCACGGTGTTTTCCCTGGAGCGGAAGGCTGAAATGCCTAACGTTCTTATCCCGTGGGTTGTAGCCACGCGCCTCCACCACGGTCTCCCTGTGCGGTGTCTCCACTCCGACCGTGGCGGCGAGTTCGCCTCTGGTCGGCTTGGAAAGTTCTGTCGTGCGGAGGGCATCACCCAGACGTACACCCTACCAGACTCCCCGCAGCAGAATGGGGTCGCTGAGTGATGCATCGGCTTGGTCATGGAGGTGGCTCGTACCTCCATGATCCATGCCTATGCACCCCATTTTCTATGGCCGTTTGCCGTTCGCTACGCCGCTCACCAGCTTAATCTGTGGCCGCACTCCCAGCAGCCGCAGGTTTTGCCGACCCTTCTTTGGACCGGGTTCCTTGGTGACGCGTCCGCGTTCCACGTCTGGGGCTGCCTTGCTCACGTTCGTGCCTCAGCCACGGACAAGCTCACTGCCCGCACTGTCCCCTATGTCTTCCTCGGTTTCCCCCTTGACTCGTCTGACTGGCACTTTTACCACCCGCCGTCTCACCGCTTCTTTCACTCCCGTGACGCCATTTTTGACGATTTTGTCTCCATTTACCACCGCTTTCCCCACTAAGGTCTCCCGGTTTCCCCTCCCCTGTTTCTCGTTCCCACTCGCCCTGTAGCCCCTGCTCACCTCCCTCCCCGTCCTGATCCATCTGGTGTGTCTCACGTTACTCTCCTCCCGTCGGTTGTCCCGGTCGAGGAGTCGGCTGACTCTGGTGGCCCTGCAGCACTGTTCTCACCACTTGCCTCTTCCCCGGTGACCCCTCCTCCGCCGTCGCAGCAGCCGCCGCAGTCGCCGCCGCCACCGCAGCCACAGCCGTCGTCGCCGCCGCACCCACAGCCGTTATCGCCGCTGCAACCACAGCCGTCGTCGCCGCCGCAGCCGCAGCAGCTGCCGCCGCGGCAACAGACGCACCCGTCCGTAGACTCTGGGGGTGCTGGCGTTGAGGAGGGTGCTAGTCCTGGGGTTCCTGTCGTGGCTTGTCCCGGTGGGCCTTGGGGTGGCACCGGTGCTGGAGAGGGTTCTTGCTCTGTCGGTGCTCGTTCAGGGGGCATTGGAGTGGAGTATTCCGGAGGTAGCCCTGGTGCAACTGGCGGTCCAGGTGTCGGCGTCGAGCAGCAGCAGCAGCAGCAGTCGCCGCCGGTGTCCGCCCTTTGCCTGCTCGGCTTTCCCTCCCCTGACCGCTCGCCTTTGCCTCCCCCGCCCCCCCCTCCTCTTCTTGTCTACGGCTCTGTGTTCCCTCCACCGGACTCGTTTCCGGCTCGTTCCCCTCTTGTGTCTCCTCCTGTATCTCCTGACGAGACACCTCCGTCTCACGTCTGGTCTCGCCGTCCCTCTCATGCTAGTCCTGTCTCTCCTGTTCAGCAATCCCACCCTATATTGATTCATTCCCACGCGTCTCGTCCTCCCCTCCTGCCTTCGCCTCCTCCGTCGTCGCTCGTTATCGTGCCTCCCCCTTTGTCTGACTACCTTTGTGCCACTCGTCCTCTTGTTCCTTGGGTCTTTGCTTCCCTCGTTACTGAACTGTCTGTACCTGTCTCCAGGCTTGACGCTCTTCTCGCTGCTGTCGCTGACTTCGCCTCTACCCGCCACTTTGACTACGCCACCGCTCTGGTCTCTGACCCTGTCTTTCCTCCGTCCGTCGGGGGTGTCCTCAGCAATAACGTCCTAGAGGACAGGCATTACAAGCTTGCTTTCCTGTCAGAGGCCGCTCCCCATCTCTGTTCCATGCTGCTAGTCCCTGAGGGTGACCCAGACGCCTTTGACATCCCGACCCCTCGCACTTATGCTACGGCGACCTCGTGACCCTGGGCCTCTCAGTGCATAGATGCCATGGAGTAGGAGATGGCATCTTGGAGATCCACCGGCACCTACATCGACGCAGTTCCCCCGCCTAGGGTGAACGTAGTCGATGGTCGGTGGCTCTTCAAGATGAAGCGCCCCCCTGGAGAGCCACCTGTGTTCAAGGCGTGCTACGTGGCTAGAGGATTCAGTCGGCGCGAGGGTGTGGACTTCTATCAGACCTTTGCCCTAACTCCGAAGATAACTACTCTTCGGGCGCTGCTACACGTAGCAGCACAGCGTGACTACGAGCTCCACTCCCTTGACTTCTCCACTGCCTTTCTTTAGGGCAGCCTACACGAACAGGACTACCTACGCCTTCTACAGGGCTTCACTGGTACCTTCCCTCCTTGGACCCAGTGGCTCCTCCGGTGCCCGGTCTACGGCCTGCAACAGGCGCCCTGTGAGTGGCACGACACTCTGCGTGCTACGCTGGGTGACCTGCAGTTCCTTCCATCGACTGCAGACCCCTCGCTCCTCGTTCGTGCTGGCCAGAATCCGTTCTACATCCTTGTTTACGTAGACAACCTAGTCTTTGCTACAGCAGACAGAGGTGCACTGGCCTCCGTGAAGGCTGAGCTGCTAAGGAGACACACCTGCACTGGCCTAGGAGAGGTGCGCTGCTATCTTGGCTTGCAGCTCTCCATGGACAGAGCAGCGTGCACCATTACTCTCACACAGTCACACTTGGTGCGCCAGGTCCTTCAGAGGTTCGGTCTTCAGTTCTGTTCAGCACAGCCCACACCTCTGCCAGTAGACCACAGGCTCTCCGCTCCAATTCCTGAGGAGTCAGTAGAGCCTCGTGGTCCTTACGCAGAGCTGGTGGGTTGCGTCATGTACCTGATGACTTGCACTCGTTCAGATCTCGCACACCCTCTTAGTATCCTTGCTCGCTTTGTGGCCACAGGCAGACACCGACCACAACACTGGACGGCCCGCTAACAGGGTTTTGCGTTAACTAGCAAGTACATCGGCCATGGAGCTAGTGCTAGGAGGACGCAGGCTAGTGGTCCTTACTGGGCACACAGACGTTTCTTGGGCAGACGACGCTGAGACACTCAGGTCCTCCCAGGGCTACTGCTTTAGCCTTGGTTCGGGTGCCATCTTGTGGAGGTCCACTCGCTCCTCGTCTGTTGCCCAGTCTAGCTGTGAGGCTGAGATCTACGCCGGTGCCATGGCGGCATAGGAGCTCCGCTGGCTGACCTTCTTGCTTGCCGACTTAGGTGAGCAGCCAAGCTCTGCCCCGGTTCTGTACGCTGACAGCAGGGCCATGATCCTCCTGTGTCAAGAGCCTCAACTCGAAGGCAGAGCGAACCACATCCAGCTGCGGTACTTCCTCATGAGCGAGCTACAGCAGCGTCGCCAGGCCCGCGTAGTACACTTGCCCTCCGTGCCAACACAGCTGATATCTTTACTAAGGCGCTTGCGCCTAAAGATCATCAGCGACACTGTTTGCAGCTTGGTCTAGTTCCTGTAGCTACTCACTTGCTAGGACCTTGATTGTGTACTCCTCTTTATATATACCTTCGTGACTGGCCTTGTGGCTTCTCTTCTAGTGGCCAGACGAGTAGTGCCGCCCTTGTTTGCTCTTGTCTTGTTTGTACTCTTGCTGACTGGTCTTCTGACCCCTACCACAGAGGTTGGACTAGTAGTGCCACCCTGAGCTGCGTGTTCCTTGCTCCGCACTGCCCCTTATCTAGCCTAGGGGGTGTGTCAACTTATACATATGTTTATATGTAGAAGTAATAGGCTAGATAGGTTTGTGTTCATAGAGGGTACAACTCCAACCCTATATCTCACTTGTTCTAGTTATTATGTTATTCTAACAGGGGGGAGGGTGCTGGACATGACATGGCTGCTGTGTTCTTATACGGTATGATGTGGATTTTTGTAAGTTATTTCCCGTAAGGAGGGATGTTGGATTAAATTGGGGTGTAGGGAAAACATGCCAGCTCTTCCAAAAGGCAATATTTTGACAGCTTGTACACTACCTTCACGACTACAGGGTTGTATACGATTATGTGTTCCTAAACGGAGGGGTTGTTGCTGAAATGAGTAATCTGTTAAGATAGGGCAATGTTAAGAACTAGGCATAGGAAAGTAGCGAGAGGTTTTAGGCTAGGAGAAAATGTCGAGAGAGAATAAAATTGGACAAGAAGAGAGAGGGATACAAGAAGGGGGTTGTACCCTCTACAGTAGGATCCACGATATGCAGTACACCTACCTAGCCTATACTATATATACAGTGGCGGAAACAACTGTCCGTATGTTTTGCATAAATTTGGGTTTTTTGGCTTTATGACCACTATACATTAAGCCTTAATGTTCAATGGTGGTACGATTTGGGAGGGGCATATAGCAGATGTGTTCATAGCACAAATATCCAGAATAGTACATTGTATCTAACTAATATCCCAAAAGATACACAAAGGGTACATCCGGACAAATAGTTCCAAGCAGGGAGGGCTAACTTCAAAAGTGTGTTTCTAGTTCCTAGCCCACCGACCTTTGGCCTTGATCACCGCCCGCACCCTCCTAGGCGAGCTGTCGATGAGGCTAGAGCAAACCTCGGCATGGATCTTCTCCCATTCTTCCTGGACCAAATCTTAAAGCTCTAGCATTCCAGAGGAATGCCTATTCTGCTTTGCCAGCTCCCTTTTCAGGTAAGCCCAGAGGTTGAGGTTTGGTGAGAAAGTAGGCCACTCCAGGGCTACATACTCATGTTCTCCAAGTCATTCATGCACTAGGCATAACAAATTCTTGGGGTCATTATCCGCACCGAGATGACCTCAGAGGGGAAAATCCTATAGAAATGGAGGTTCAATTCGAGTTCGTCATGCAAAATGCCCTCATACAGGGGCCTCTCCATGCCTCCGTCAATCTTGCGTATGAACCCCACCCCCGCACATGTCATACATCCCCACACCATCACCGATCCTTGTCCCCATGGTTTACCGTCTGTTTGATTTGGTGGCGTTGAAGGGTTGTGCCTTCACGAATCCAGGCAAACGCATGGCCATTGGAGCTGAAGCAGTTGATGTTGGTCCCATTTGACCAGATCACATGCTTTCGAACACTAATTGTCCATTCAGCATGCGACTCCACAAATTGCAGCCGGCCCCTGACTATTTTGCAGAACAGTCTTGGCTTCTATGACTGGTGCACCATGACTAGACCCACAGACCCTAGTGTGTTTTTTATGGTGCAAGGGTGCACACTCAACCGTGCAACGTTACCCTCAGTTTCGTAGTGTCTACGCTAGATTTGGCCGCTTTATATATGATTTTACCCTAAAATGGTAGGATGAAGACGATCCGTGATAAGATGGGCCCGACCGGCTAATTGCATCTTTGGCCACACCTCAGCATGGCTAGTCTCAAAGATACCATTCAATCCAAATTCGTCCACAATACTCTTGCCTACGCCCAACTTTTTCGCGATTTTCCTAGTGCTCACCCCCTTATACTAAATGGTGGGTCCAGGAAGAGTGCAAAACGTTCCTTGCCGAGGTTTGTACTAACCTCGTAGGTAATGTGCCTAGGAGGGTGCGGGTGGTGATCAAGACCAAAGGTCGGTCGGCTATGTACCAAATACGCAATTATGAAGTTTGCTCTCTCTGCTTGGAAATATTTGTCCAGATGTACCTTTTGGGATATGAGTTAGATCTAATGTACTATTACGGAAAAGGTCGTCGAGCCGGCGGTAGCAGCGGTCGGCGGTGTGGCCGGACCGGGAGCAGACGGTGACGCGGCGGGGGCCGATCTGAAGCTGGTACTTGCAGGTGACCGCACTGGAGCTGCCACCCGACACCGAGCTGCGCCCGCCACCACCACGACCACCGCCACTGGCGCTGCGAGTCCACCACGGCGGCGGGGGTCCCTACGGTGACTGCTGCTGCTGCGACGAATGCTGCTGCGGCTGTTGGTGCTGCTGCTGAGTCTGCTGCTTCTACTGCTGAGGCTGTGTCTGCTGCTGCTGCTGAGGTTGCGTCTATTGCTACTGCTGCTCAAGGGCACCAGCCTTGGTCCCCTCGTCTGAACCACCGTCCCCGCCCCCACCTCCTCCACCCTCCCCATTCCCACCCCCTTCCCTCCACCACGCCCCCCTTTGGGGTGGCGGCCCTTACCCGGACGCGACTGCGCTGAGGCCACAGCGGCGGTCTGAGCAACGGAAGCAGAGACGTCCGAGTAAGAGCACTAGGAGGGAGAACATCCCTGAAAGATAGGGACTGGCACAGTACGGCTAGACAGAGCGATAGTGCGCTGGCGGGTCTCTATCGCAGACAGGGCAGTGACAAAGGCGTGGAGGGTGAGGTCACCCGGGTGCTAACTAAGGAAGTGATCACGGGCTATGGCTAGGCGGTTGGGGAGGCGCGAGGCAATGAGATAAAGGGTAGCGTAGAGCGGCGGCGGAAAGGCAGTGAGCTGAGCCTCAGTGCTAGCAGCGCGGTGACTAGTCTCGAGCGTGCAGACGTGAGTAGCAAGGTCAGTGACAGTAGGGAAGGACGCAAGATCAGGGAGCAGCATGGGGAGGATCAGGCGGCCAGCAAAGGCAGAGGCGGGGGTGGAATAGCGTGCAATGACTGCATCTAAGAAGGCGTGGTCGTTCGCTACAGTGGTAAAGCAGGGACGCTAAGACAGAGGAAGCGCGTGACTAATAGCAAGCTGCGCGACGACGTCGTGCGAGTCCTAAGCAGCACGAGAAAGCGTAGAAATGGAAAAGGCCTCACACACAGCGGTGGTGGGAGCAGCAGAGAGGGCAACAGGCGCAGCGGGGCGGGGAAGCAAGCCATCGACATGAACAGCCAGGGAGTGACCGTCCTGGCACTGACCTGTAAGGTGACGGCGAAGGTCAACGAGCCACGCCTCGAAGTCAATCGCCTAACCCACCGCATCTAGGCGGAGCTGTGAGTCCGCCATCACCACG